TAATAAAAGAAATCTACAAGGTTTTTCTATCATTACATGCTTTAAATAATAAAAAAAAATCTACAAGGTTTTCTATCATTACACGCTTCCCTCTCGTGGCCACTAGGCTGCTGCCTGTGCGCTATATAAAAGCAGCAGTGGTTGATGAACAACACACAAAAAATTTTTGCCGTATAAACTCCCGGCCAATTACTATAAACAGAAAACTTTACTGCAATCGAGAGTAGAATATGATATATTCCTTTCCCTAATCCTTTTGTTTGTTTTGGGTTTTGGTTTTTGAGACAAGGTCTCGCTATGTAGCTCAGGCTGGCCTTGAACTCACAGCAATCCTCATGCCTCAGCCTCCTGAGCACTGGGATTATAAACGTGCACCACTGCAACCTTTACGCCCATAAATATCAACTGAGCGACTATCACGTACTAATAGTTCCAAAACTGAAAATACAGCGGTCAGATTACCTGAGCTCAAGGGAATTTACACTCTATAGTGATGAAACGTGAGTAGATAATAAATGCAAATGTTCATAAACGTTCAAAACAGATGTTTTGGGCAGAGTAAGGCAGACGATGCGAGCGCAAGGTGGGGCAAGCGCCCCGTCACAGCGGGCTGTCACAGGAGACCCTCCGACACGCTGAGCGTGGGCAGACTCCGAGGTCGGGGAGTAAGCGAAGCAGCCCAGAGACGCACACTCCAGGGCGAGGGGCTCGGTCCCTCGAGGCAGCACCTCAGCTCTCCCAAGTGATGCCCGAGAGCACAGCTCAAACTGGACGAAAACGAGGGCGGAGTGTTAACTCCCGCGACCCCTCCCTTCTCAGCTCTGCCTGCCTCGTTTCCATTACTCAGTCAGCCGCGGCCCAGAGAGTGAAAGGGAAATCCCGGGAATAAACACTTCCTGAGTTTTCGACTGCGAGCTGAGTGGTGTGGTGCAGTCTCGCGCCCAGGACACAGACCGTCCTTTCCACGGCGCCCGCCTGCGGCCCGCCAGCCTCTGCAGTGTCACAGCTTCCGCCCCAGTGATTCTTTCTGACCTAGTAACGGGCCCAAAGTGCACCCACAGTGACAACGGCAATGCAGATCCGCCAAAGAAGCCATAAAGTTCCTTCTTTCAGTGAAAAAGCAACAAAATAAAACAAAAAACCCCAACTCATTAAGGGAAGAAACAAATTTTTTTTCTTTTTTGGTTTTCTGAGACAGGGTCTTGATGGGCAGTTCAGGCTGGCTTTGCACTATGTAGCCCAGGCTGACCTCAAACTCAAGTGATCCTCCTGCTCCAGCTTCCCAAGTGATGGGATTACAGGCATGCGCCACCACGCCCAACTACGGGAAGAAAAGAAAACTTTTTTTTTTGTCTTCTTGAGACAGGGTCTCGCTCTGCAGTTCAGGCTGGCCTTGCACTCACTTTAGCCCAGGCTGGCCTCGAATTTGCAACGATCCTCCTGCCTCAGCCTCCTGAGTGCTGGGATTACAGGCGTGCGCCAGCACACCCGATAGAGAAAAAAATCTTATGCTAAAATTACTAAGATCTGTGGTAAGCTATTGATATTGACTTATGTGCCTAATTTATAAACTAATGTTTTTTGGTACTGGGAATGGAACTCAGGACCTTGTGCTTGCCAGGCAGGCGTTTGTGCCGCTGAGCTATATCCCCGGCCCTATATAAACTACTCTTACCACAGGTACATATGTAAAGGAAAAACCATAGGTTGTGATGATATCCATGGTTTCAGGCACCCCTCTGGAATGGGATAAGATGGGAACTGCTATATGTAGAAGTAAAAGGCATGTTTCTATGTAACACCCAAAGACCTAATGCAGACTTACCTCCTCGACCAGCTGGACGCCATAGTCCCTTTTAAGTGGCTGGATGGTCACACCTCTCCCATTGACAAGCTGGGTTAAGTCAATGGGTTCAGTAGGATCAACTCGACCCAAGTCAATAAGATACTGTAGTCTCTTCAGACTCAAAGGCTGGTACTGACGTCTGAAGCTATGATTGAAGAAAATAACAATTGGAAAATAAAAGTAAATTTTCCTACAACTTCTCCAGATCAACTCAAAGCTTTGTCCTAAGTTTTTCTCCATCTTTTTTGATGGTTTGACAAAACAAAACCCTCCTTACTACCTCACAAACAAGCAATATTGATGGACTTAGTAAAACTAAAAATAATTTGCCTCTAGAAGTGCTTAGTTTACTCATACACACAAATAAATAAATTTACAAAAAATGTTATCATCTGAGGGCACGGTGATATACACCTGTAATTCCAGCACTCAGGAGGCTGAGGCAGGAGGATCGTTGCAAGTTCAAGGCCAGCCTGGGCTACAAAGTGAGTTCAAGACTAACCTGAACTGCATAGTGAGACCCTATCCCAAAAAGACAAAAAAAAAAAAAAAATTATTGTCTGAATTATACAGTGAGGGTCTATAATGGGCAGATATATTATCTGTATCTGTGTGTATCTACATATGATTTTTTTATTGCCGCTCCTTTAAGCAATCATAAGAACAGGCACAATCCCCATTTTGCAGGTCTGACTATGGCCGGGCTTTCGCTGTTTCATTACTGAAAATGATTCAGAGAAACAAGAGCAAAAGAGAAGTTTGGTTTGAAATGATTTTTTTTTTTTTTTTTTTGTCTTTTTGAGACAGGGTGTCGCTATGCAGCTCAGGCTGGCCTTGAGCTCACTTTGTAGCCCAGGCTGGTCTGGAACTCGAAACAATTCTCCTGCCTCAGCCTCCCGAGTGCTGGGATTATAGGTGTGTGCCACCATGCCAGGCTGAAATGAATTTTAAATTACTACAAATCTATTTTTAGGTGATTCTCAGCGGGAATCAGGGGTTTGTACTTCAAAACCAGAGCAACGTTACCTATGTCCTTCATTAAATCCGTATTTGGGGATTCGGAGGTAAAACGGTGTCTGGCCTCCCTCAAAGCCCAGCCTGGGCCGGGTTCCTCTTTGCCTTTCTCCTTTATGGCCTCGGCCACATTTCCTACCTCTTCTGCGACCTCTTGGTCGTCTCTCCTAAAAGGAAAAAAAAACCGTTTAAGATATTAAGATGTACTTGTAAAAGCTGTATTCCACCTTATTGCTGAGTATTGGTGGTTATGCCACTCACTCACCCAACCCCCAGCACTAGCTGATGCTGCTGTGCGTCCCGGTTCTGGCTGCTCCAGTACCCAGGCACCCCATTCGCACCTCTGCCTCCGAAGGCCTGGCAGTTCTTGCAACCAAAGCACAGCAATGTTTCAAAGATAAAGTTCCAAAAATAAGGGGTTGGCTATGACCAGACAGGGACTAAAAATATCCTAGAATTAAACATACAAAACAAGCTTCAATGAATTGTGAAGAAAAGGTTTTTACTTTGGAATTAATTCTAAGTATGTAACTGCGACACATTACTTGGAGACTAACATTTTCCTTAAACTTACTATCACTTCGGGGAAGCAACAAGATCATTGCGTCGACCGTTAAAATGACCACAGTTTATGCAGTAAACCGCGGGAGTAAGACAATTCACATCTTCCTAAGGGCGACTGATACATTTTCTAGGAAAGGACTTGACTTTAAATGCAATTTTGTTTTTTACTGCTGCTGTTGTCTTTTTGAGACAAGGTCTTGCTGTGCAGTTCAGGCTGGCCTTGAGCTCACTTTGTAGCCCAGACTGGCCTCGAACTCGCAACGATCCTCCTGCCTCAGCCTCCCGAGTGCTGGGATTACAGGCGTGCACCACCACGCCCGGCGTTAGACGCAAATTTGCAGCACATAGTCTCGCAGCTCCCCCGTCGTCCCGCGAGCACAGCGCGCTCTAAGCGCGCGCTCACTACGCGCAGGGAGCAAGCGCGAGGCCTCCCGGGCGGCGCGGGCTCGGCGACCTCCGCAACGCAGCGGCCGCCCGATGTCCCCGCGGCCCCCCGCCACTTACCGGC